CAATGGTGCGATCTCGACTCACTGCAACCTCCACCTCCCAAGTTCAAGCGATTCTCCTGCCTCAGCCTCCCAAGTAGCTGGGATTACAGGCACCTGCCACTATGCCTGGCTAATTTTTTGTATTTTTAGTAGAGATGGGGTTTTACCATGTCGGCCAGGCTGGTTTTGAACTCCTGACCTCAGGTGATCCACCCGCCTCAGCCTTCCAAAGTGCTGCGATTACAAGCATGAGCCACCAGGCCCAGCCTGTCTCCCATTTGGATGATATTTGTAAAATTGTTTTCAATTCTTAACCATGGCAGGGTAAAAAACATCACTTGTATTGACCATTTGAACAGACATGTATCTGATGTACATTGATCATGACATTGGAGATTCCCAAGAAAAACCCAAATGCAAGATCTCCAAGAATCAGAAAGTCAGGTGGTGCAAACAGTAGAAAGGGGGGCGTGGGTGGGGAAGTCACAGCAAGGGGCCCAAAACCACTGACCAGGAGAACAGGCCTGGTTCTCAGAATTCACCAGTCCCTCCCGTTCTTGCTCTTCCTATCTGAAAAGTGAGGAGGCCGAGGAGAGAGTCCCACAGCCTTCACTCACAGATCCAGGAGGGGCCCGAGACCCTCCTCTGCCCAGCTCGTGAGTGGTTTCAGCCCTGGAGGTGCCTGGGCCCTGCCCAGCTGGCTCTGTGGGGAAGGGACCCTAAATCAGTCCCTTGAGTCTCCTAGCAACATCTCTGCCTGTGGACCCAGCATTTCCGGGCCTTCAGGTCAAGATCAGCCCGGCCCACCTTCCCCAACACCCACTGTGCGTGAGTCAAGGTCGGAGATGGGATTTTAGAGCTGGAAAGCCCCGAGGCCCCGGCGTGACCACTCCCTGAGTCACCTTCGGAGTTCTGCTTCTGCACAGCGGTGTCCAGCCCCACGGACAGCAGATCCTTCCCAGCGGCTTTCCTTCCCCAGCCTCCTCAGACGTTCCTGGAACTCCCTTGCTCCACCCCACTCTGCCTTTGAGGAGGGAGCCACAGAACGTCATTTTGGGAAAGATTGGTCATCCGGGTCATGAATAGTTCTTGTGACCGCGATGTCCTTAGCACAGTTGTCTTGCCCAAGGTCCCAAGGAGGTGAACTGGGGCAGGGCTTTGAGGCAAAGGCTCTAGTGACCCCCAGACGGGAGCAGAGGTGGGGCGAGAAGGGAGGGGCGAGCAGAGGCGGGGCCAGACGGGAGCTTCCAGGACCTGGAGGCCCAGCGCCCCCCCCCCCCCCCGCTGCTTGCCCATGCTGCCAGCACCCTGGGGGACCAAGATGATTTGGGGGCTGTGAGGGAGTTTGGGGAATGTGGGGATTTGGGGTGAACAGGACTCGGGAAGCCTGTCTGGGGTTTGGAGCAGGACGGTCTGGGCATCCATCTCACGTGGCTCACAAACCCCACTGGGAGCCGTAGCAAAGCCATCTGCTCATTTATTTTCCTTTCTAATTTTATTTTTGCTCTTTCTCAGCAGAATCACACCCATGCATTTTGAGGTGTGGACTACACCCACCTCCATGGCCACCAAATCCCACCTTTCACCAACTCTGTCACATTTCTCGGTGAGGAGGACAAAACGACACAAAACACAGGCAAACCCCCCACCCCCGGGGCCCTCATCTTGCTGGGGAAGTCAGGTCCTGATAAGGAGTCCCCCCCCACCCCATCCCCACCATCACCCCTTCCTCCCAAGCTCTGCTCTCGTGGGTTCTGCAAACAGTCCCACCACGCCCCGACCCAGCACTCCACTCAGCTCTCTGCCCACCTGGGTGTCTTCCTCCAAACCCTCCTCATCCCCAAGACCCAAGCACATCTATTCAATTCATTCAATAATGTGCTGCACTCCTACTGTGTCAGGCAGCACGGCGCCTGCCTCTGAGGAGCCCTGGGAGGGGCCTGCCCCACCTCTGAACCCCGAGTCGGGAGACTTGCTCTTAGCCCTTGACTCAAACCACTTGAGAGCAAGAGTCTTGAAATCAAACTAACCCAGGTTCAAGTCCTGCCTGCTTTTGGGGAGCCTTGGAAAAGCCAGCTTCATTCTCATCTTTTTTTTTTTTTTTTTTTCTTTTGAGACCGAGTTTCTCTCTTGTCACCCAGGCTGGAGTGCAATGGCACAATCTCAGCTCGCTGGAACCTCCACTTGCCAGGTTTAAGCGATTTTCCTGCCTCAGCCTCCGGAGTAGTTGGGATTACAGGCACCTGACCCCAGGCCCGGCTAATTTTGTATTTTTTTTTAGTAGGGACGGGGTTTCTCCATGTTGGCCAGGCTGGTCTCAAACTCCTGACCTCAGGCAATCCGCCACCTCAGCCTCCCAAAGTGCTGGAATTGCAGGCGTGAGCCACTGCACCGGCCTTCATTCTCATCTTTAATGCTCTTGTCTATGACACGGGGGTGGAAAGACCTTGTCACCATCCCTCAAAAGGGCAAAGGTGTCCTGGCACGGTGGCTCACGCCTGTAATCCCAGCACTTTGGGAGGCTGAGGTGGGTGGATCACTTGAGGTCAGGCGTTCAAAACCAGCCTGGCCAACATGGTGAAGCCCTGTCACTACTAAAAATACAAAAAAATAGCCAGGCATGGTGGCGGGTGCCTATAATCCCTGATTATATCCCCAGACACTTGGCTGAGGTAGGAGAAATCTGAACCCAGGAGGCAGAGGCTGCAGTGAGCCGAGACTGTGCCACTGCACTCCAGCCTGGGTGACAGAGAGAGACTCCGTCTAAACAACAAAACAACGGGCAAAGCCAGGGCACACCCCCGAGAAAAACACCTTTTTTCAAAGGCTGTTGTTGATGGTGTTCCAGAAAAGTATTGCAGTGTAATCACGGGGAAATTCAAAACCCTGTTAGATTTCCTTCCTCTTATTGTGGGCTTAGTTTTGGTTTTATTTTGAATGAGATCGGGGAGGGAGGGCTCCATTATCTTCTCAGCTGTAGAGGCTCTAAGGAACTTTTAAACTCTTTTGATTTGGAAAAATTTCAAGCTTAAAAAAGTTGCAGACAAATGCACTGCACATCCTACGGATTTATTCTAGAGTCTTCAAGTGTTAGCTGTATTTATTTATTCTTAAACTTTTATTTTAGGTTCGGGGTGCATGTACGGGTTTCTTATGCAGGTAAACTGACGTCACGGGGGTTTGTTGTACACAGTATTTCCTCATTCAGGTATTAAGCCGAGTACCTGGTAGTTATTTTGTTTGGTGTTGTTTTGAGATGGCGTTTTGCTCTGTTGCCCAGGCTGGAGTGCAGCAGCACAATCCCAGCTCTCTGCAACCTCCACCTCCCGGGTTCAAGTGATTCTCGTGCCTCAGCATCCCCAGTAGCTGGGATTACAGGTGCCCGCCACCACATCTGGCTAATTTTTGTATTTTTAGTAGAGACGGGGTTTCACTATGTTGGCCAGACTGGTCTCGAACTCCTGACCTCAAGTGCTCTACCTGCCTTGGCCTCCCAAAGTGCTGGGATTACAGGCGTGAGCCACCGCGCCCGGCCTGCATGTGTTTTAACAATAGAATAATTCACATTCCTTTGGGCATGTACCCAGTAAGGGGATTGCTGTATCAAATGTTAGTTTAGTGGTCAACATTCCAAGTATGAAATTTGAACAGGTTATTGGGGATTCATATCCATCAGCTTGTTCACATTTAGCACTGATCTCATCACCAGTTGCTTTTCCAGGACAGTGACCTTCACCACAAATCGGGAGTTTTCCCAATGCAAGTCTGGGCTTCTCCGGCATCTTCCCTCCCCTCTCTCTCCCCCTTTCCCCCTCCCTCCTCCTTCCCTTCTTTCTTTCTCTTTCTTTCTCTCTTTCTTTCTTTCTTTCCCTTTCTTTCTTTTTGACGGATTCTCCCTCTGTCGCCAGGTTAGAGGGCAGTGGCGTGATCTCAGCTCACTGCAACCTCCACTTCCTGGATTCAAGCGATTCTCCCGCCTTAGCCTCCTGAGTAGCTGGGACTACAAGTGCACCACTAAACCCAGCTTTTTTTTTTTTTTTTTTTTTTTTTTTGGTATTTTTAGTAGACACAGGGTTTCACCATGTTGGCCAGGATGGTCTCTGTCTCTTGATCTCCTGATCCGCCTGCCTCGGCCTCCCAAAGTACCACAGTGCTGGGATTACAGGTGTGAGCCACCACATCCGGCCAGCATTTTTACTTTTCTAAGGAAGACGTCCTGGAGAGGATTACTGGATAGACTAGGGAGCCTTCTCTATCTGTCTCCCAGTGCTGTCGGGCATCAATTTATGGACCACTTCTTTTGAGTAATTTGTCTGCACCTCCTGAGCCATGACTTCCACCATCTTTTCTGGATTTGACAGGCCTGCCTGCGAGAGGTCTTCCCCATCTGCTTGCTGCACTGCTTTCAGGAAACCAGCACAGAACAGATGAGGAAATGACCGTCTGTGGTTTTGACAGCCATATGAGCTTCAATTGTGGTCTTTTTTTTTTTTTTGGTCACAGGTAAGATTCATGCCATGAAAGCTGGTCAGGCTGTTTTTGTACCGAACATCCTCACTCATCCGTTTGAATTTTCCCAATGCAGCTTCCTCATTCTGCAGATCAGCAGAACTCACTCCAAAAACATGGCTCCTGAGGCCACGAGGTGCAATTTTGGCTCCAAGTTTCCCTGTGCCTGGTGTTTTCCATACTTCTTCGTCTTTTTTCTTTTTCTTTTTTTTTTTTTTTTTTTTTTGAGACAAGGTTTCACCGTGTTGGCCAGGATGGTCTTGATCTCCTGACCTCATGATCCGCACGCCTCAGCCTCCCAAAGTGTTGGGATGACAGTTGTGAGCCACTACGACTGGCTGTGCTTTCTGTACTTCTTATGCCAAGCACAGCTGGCACCTTCGCCTCATGCCAGTCTCTCTGACAATGGACCAACCTCTTTCTTCTTGGCTCCTGTGGGAAATAGAAGTTCCTCTTCAAAGTTTCCCTTCTTGTTTAAGAAAAATTATAAGTGTTAGAAATAATCATTTGTTCGACACAGGCTTGGGGCCGACGGGGGAGACGGAGCCCCAGGACTGTTGAAGCCTGGAAATTCCCTCCCCTTGCTCCCCTCCCTTTACGGCATCCCCCTCCCTCCACCCTTTCCTACTTTCATAATCTGGCCATGACTAGCAGAAGCACAGCTAGGCCCAATGGGCAACCCCAGGCCAGCAAAATATGCCAGTTCAAATTGGTCCTGCTGGGAGAATCTGCAGTGGGAAAGTCAAGCTTGGTATTACATTTTGTCAAAGGGCAGTTCCATGAGTACCAGGAGAGCACCATTGGAGCGGCCTTCCTCACCCAGTCGGTTTGTCTAGATGACACAACAGTCAAGTTTGAGATCTGGGATACAGCTGGGCAGGAGCGATACCACAGCTTAGCCCCCATGTACTACAGGGGTGCCCACGCTGCAATCGTGGTTTACGACATTACTAATCAGGAAACCTTTGCCCGAGCGAAGACATGGGTGAAGGAACTACAGCGACAGGCGAGTCCTAGCATCGTTATTGCTCTAGCGGGGAACAAAGCTGACCTGGCCAACAAGCGTATGGTGGAGTATGAAGAGGCCCAGGCATATGCAGATGACAACAGCTTATTGTTTATGGAGACTTCAGCCAAGACGGCTATGAACGTGAATGATCTCTTCCTGGCAATAGCTAAGAAGTTGCCAAAGAGTGAACCCCAGAATCTGGGAGGTGCAGCATGCCGAAGCCAGGGTGTGGATCTCCATGAACAGTCCCAGCAGAACAAGAGCCAGTGTTGTAGCAACTGAGGGGGTGGCTAGCAGCAAACAAGTATGGAGCTAGCACGAGAGCTAAGAAATAACCTCCATCCCCACCCCTCAGCACACAGTCCCTACTGTAACAGCACACTGAGCCCTGGCTCCCAAGGGCTGCCTCCTGACAGCTCCGTCATGGCACTATTTTTTTTTTTTTTTTTTTTTTTGAGATGGGGTTTTGCTCTTGTTACCCAGGCTGGAGTGCAATGGTGCAATCTCAGCTCACCACAACCTCCGCCTCCTGGGTTCAAGCAATTCTCCTGCCTCAGCCTCCCGAGTAGCTGGGACTACAGGCGTGCGCCACCATGCCCAGCTAATTTTTGTATTTTTAGTAGAGACGGGGTTTCACCATGTTGACCAGGATGGTCTCGATCTCTCGACCTCGTGATCCACCCGCCTCGGCCTCCCAAAGTGCTGGGATTACAGGCGTGAGCCACCGCACCCGGCGTCATGGCACTTTTTAATGCTTCAGCAACCAACACCAGGCAGCTGTTGCCACTGGCCTCCTACCCCCTACTCTGGGGCTTGGGGGGTCAACTCCCCCCAGGACTTACCTTCCAAAACAAACTTTCTTCACTTTGTATTATAGGTACAAGACAGTAACTTACTTATCTTTTCTCCTCCTCCCTAGTGTTCCTCCCCATTATTTCAAAAAACACTTCTGTCTCCTGTCCCTTCCCCTTTCTGCTTTTGATCAATCTCTGTTCTTGATCGTCTTTTCTCCTCTCCCCAAGTTGCGGAAGGTAGTAAACCCAGGAGCTGAGGAAGGAGGTTTCCAGTTCATTTACATTAAGGGCTCTGGGGGAGAATACAGCTCAGAGCAGGAGGGAGTAAGGAAACATTTCCTTTTTGTTTTTATTTGGTTTGAGTTTCTCATATTTGAAAACATTGTAGTATCCATGAGTTGGCCCTTGTAGAGGATGTTCCTAGGTAGAGGTGAGAATGGGGAGGCAAGCTCTCAGGCACCAGGCAGGAGGTGTCCTGTAAGCTAACTGGGCAGAGGTGGAGATACAGTGTTATCCGTGGCTCTGTAACTCTTCCAAGGCCCAGTTTCCCCTCATGCAGCCTCTTAGGTAGCATTTCCCCTGTCATGGGGATTGGACCCCAGAGTCCTCCAAAGAATCTTCACTGGTTGCCTCCATCTTTGGCTCTGCTGTGATCTAATTGGAGGAGGGACCAGTTTCTGATACCCGTCCTCTGATTTATACATTTGCATTTTTTTTCCCTCTGGCCTTTAGATGGCCTCAGCCCCAACTACCATATGCCCCTGCAGTTTGCACTTTCATTGATGATAGTTCAGTTGGGGTACTTGTTTTATGGAGGTTTTGATTGATTTCCCTGCCCGCCCACCTTCTTTTTAATTCAGTGACATCTGAGGTTAATATGAGGTTTTGGGAGAGATTAGATAAAAGTACCAGTGGCAGCTATTTAAGTCCAATCTCCACTGTTAGCTTCCTCCAACTCAATTCTTAACCTATATTCTTGCCCATCTAGCTACTGAGTATAGGTCTGCCTTTCCTGGTGAATTAACTGAGCAATTGGGGAGTGTCTCAGGATAGTGTAGGCCAAGGTAGGGGAGTAAAAAGGAGGTCAGGCAAAAGGGAGCAGTTATTCTATCCTTTCCCAGGTTTCACACTCAATTTGGTATCCACTACCATGTCTTTTCTACTTCCCTGTAAATAGATATGATCTTTATTCCTACTGTGCAGTCTGTTCTATCCTCTGCCTCCCACCAGGCCCTGTTTCCTTTTTCCTTTGTTAATATCTTGAATTTAGTCCCTCCATTCTTAATCTCCCCATTCCTTTCCACCATGCAACCAGTGGTTTAATCCATGTACCACTAGGGGCTAGTACCACAGAGGCCTCCTTGTGGCGCCCTCATATCATACCACCTGTTCCTGTGGACAGGGAATGACTGGCACCGAAGGTGCCTTACAACTGGCCTCATATTATCAGAGGACCGTGGTCCTTTCTAAATCTTTAGCCTCTCTTCATATCCCTCATTGGGTGTTTTAAGATGTATCTGGGAAACCATCAAGGCAAAAGAGAACTTTAAGTTCCTTGTTCCAGCCCAGAGTTTTGGGACAGAAAGAAAGAAAGGAAAGGTCACAGTGACCTAGGATTGGAACCTTTCTGCCCTTTTGGTTTGCAGACTGCCTTCTATCCCAGAACAGCTGAGAAATCTATGAAGCTGAGATTCTGAAGGACCCAGCTTAGGTTCTTCCACTTAGGCCTCAATTCCCTTCCTTTTCCAGGGGCAGCCTTAGTTTCCATGGCCCTGAAACACACACATTTCTCCCTTCCTTTCCCAGAAGCCACTGGCCCCCCAAAGCACCCAGTGCATCCTTTTTATAAGTGGAAGAACTAGGTTGGCTTTCTGAAGTCTCCTAGAAATGAAGTTCTTTCTCTCTGCAGCTTTCCCCCACGGAGTAGGAGCAAAGATGTCTCATTGTCTTGGGGCTGGGAAACCATTTTTCCAGGCTTCTCCCTCCCCCACCCCCATAGGAACAGGATTTGGCCTTAGCTTCTGGGCCTACCGGCTGCCTTCCCTCTACTTCCTACCAGCTCTTCTGCCTTCCTTTGAGCTCTGTTGGGCTTGGGGATCTTAGGGTTTTGTTTTTTTTTTAATTTCCCAGCTCATTTTTTCCTTCTGGTCAGTTTTTTTAAGGGGGGGGTGTTGTGGGTTTTGTTTTTGTTTTGCTTCTGAGAAAGTATTTGCCTTTCTTCCTCTCCCAACATAACAATCGTGGTAACAGAATGCGACTGCTGATTTACCAACGTATTTAATGTAAGTAAAAAAAGGAAAAAAAAGAAAAGAAAGAAAGAAAGAAAGAAATAATCATTTGTTTTAAACACTTTCTTCAAAAGCCTTCTTGCCTTTTTGCTAGAAGCCCTATCCTATATAGCTGGTAGACACACGCTATGCTTACAGGCACGTAGTACATTCTATGTCCTTGTACTTTAACCAGGATATCTGGGCTGGACGTGCTGGACGTGCTCACAGGCATGTCCCACCTCTCCATTGCTTTTACCTGTTTAGAAAAGTTTCAAGTTGTTAGCCAATCGGGTTTTAGCTTAGATTGTGAGGTCTGGCTGCAGCCAACAGAGATCAGATACAGCAGTAAGGAAAACCCCAAATGCGTTAAGGGATAAATATGTCTGCTTTCCTTTGTTCATCGTACCCTCAGGGCACAATGGCTAGCCAGAGTACCCTTCCTGCAGTCCAGGAAGTAAAAATCGCGTTGCCCAAAGATCCTTTGTCTCAGTGCCGATTTTTCTTTGTGGCACCGAGCATCTGTTTCCAACATCTATTTCCAATAGCTCCCTTCCTGCCACCCTTGTAAGTCGCTCATCTTTGCCAGCCACATGGTGCTGCAGAGCCAGAGGCCAGGCATTAATGCTTCCATCTTCCCTCTCTCAGTAGGTTGCTACACGTTATGATTAGTGTCAGATTCTGAATTGTCCAAGAGTGAGCCGCAGATATCATATCACAATACAAACTGCCAAGTATTTAAGTATGTATCTCCAAAGATCAAGGAGCTTTCCTGATGTCACCCCACTGCAATGATCACACGTGGGAGGTTCGCTGTTGGGACGATACTGTTAGCTAATACGGTGAATGCCCAATCTCTGCTAGTTGTCTCAATCATGCCGGACCCACGTGGTGCCTTGTGGTTGACTCCTCAGCCTCTCTGTCTCTTTCATGACACTGAAATCGTGGAAGAAGATTGCCTAGATGTTCAGCAGGGTGTCCCTTAATTTGGGACTATCTGGTGTTTCCCCTTTATGAGTAGACTTGGGGTGAGCATGTTTTGCAGGAATGCCACAGAAGGGACGCTGTGTCCTTGCTGCTGCATGCATCAGGAGGCACACACCACCACCTTATGCCATCACCAGCCATGCTGAGCTGGGTTGCCTGGTTCAGGTAGCATCTGCTACGTTTCTTTTTCCCCTTCACCATTAAGAAATGCCAACCCTGGGCCGGCACAGTGGCTCACGCCTGCAATCCTAGCACTCTGGGAGGTCGAGGTGGGTGAATCACCTGAGATCAGAAGTTTGAGACCAGCCTGGCCAACTTGGTGAAACCCCGTCTCTACTAAAAGTACAAAAATTAGCTGGGTGTGGTGGTGGGCGCCTGTAATCCCAGTTACTGGGTAAAGTGAGGCAGGAGAATCACTTAAACCCAGGAGGCGGAGGTTGCAGCGAGCCAAGATGGCGCCATGCACCCCAGGCCTGGGCGATAAGAAACTCTGTTTCAAAAAAAAAAAAAAAAAAAGAAAGAAACACCGACTCTGGCCAGGAATGGTGGCTCATACACGTAGTCCCAACCCCTCAAGAAGCTGAGGCAGGAGGATCCCTTGAGCCCAAGAGGTCGAGGCTGCAGTGAGCTATGATCTTGCCATTGTACTTCAGCCTGGGTGACAAAGTGAGACTGTGTGTCAAAAATAAAAATATCAACTCTTTTTTTTGTTTGTTTGTTTGAGAAAGTCTGGCTGTTGCCCAGGCTAGAGTGCAGTGGTGTGATTTCAGCTCACTGCAACTCCACCTCCCGATTTCAAGCGATTCTCCTCCCTCAGCCTGCCAAGTAGCTGCGATTACAGGTGCCTGCCACCACGCCCAGCCAATTTTTGTATTTTTAGTAGAGACGGGGTTTCACTGTGTTGGCCAAGCTGGTCTTGAACTCCTGACCTCATGATCCACCCGCCTCGGCTTTCCAAAGTGCTGGGATTACAAGGGTGAGCCACCGAGCCCGGCCAGAATATCAACCTTTTAAAAGGAAGAGGATGAGGAACAAAATATAATTTAAAGCGTTTAACTAACCCTAGAGGCTAAGGCGGAAGGATCATTTGAGGTCAGGAGTTTGAGAACAGCCTGGGCAGCACAGTCACAGCTCCACATGGTTTGAGTCCAGGTGAAGGCTGCACTGAGCAGCGACCGCACCACCACCCTCCAGCCTGGGCGACAGAGGGAGACCCTGTCTCAAAATAAATAAGGTGGGGAAAGGGTGTGGGCTGATGTAAAGTTGTCGCGAATTCTCTTTGCTTTACGGAAATACCATCGACTAGCCATGGGCTGTGCACCGTTCAGGTACAAGGTCCGCGGGGCGTTATCTGGTGAACTCAAACTGCGGTTTCCAGAGGGG